GCTAGAGTCATGGATCAGGAGCAGGCAGTCAGGAAGCCAAGGTCTGTAAGACACCAACACATAAGTCATCACCCTGGGTAGCCACAAGCCAAGGGGTTTAGGAGCAGGAGGCAGGGATCTAGACTGGAGTTACTAGCTAAGGGCAGGCAGCTGTAGCTGCATGGGACTAGGACAGGGGTGGGCAAAATGTGGCTCGGAGGCTGGATGTGGCCCGCCAGGCCATTCCATCCGACCCACGGGGCCCCTAAACCTTTAGAAAATTAATATTAATCTGCCCTGAGCTGCCTGTCACGCAGCCCTCAAAGGCTTGCCGAAACTCAGTAAGCAGCCCCTGCCCAAAATAATTGGCCGCCCCTGGACTAGGATGTGGGTGATGATATATTGTGAGTTCAGCAACAACACTCTGGACACTGCTGTGTTGAACTAACAGTAATTTATTATTATAACTCTCTGGAATCATATCCAGGGTGGATCTTAACAGTTGCATCAGTACATGTATGCAGATCTTATACCTGCTCTGCCTCTGACTTGATCCAGCCCAGTCCTGTGGAGAGAGAGGAAACAAGAAAACCTCTGGCTCCTCATGGCAGAGAAGAGGGAGTCCCCAATCATGCAAAACTGCCACAAGCAACTGAACCCTGCAGTGCTGAACAGGAGGGCTTTGCCCTTCAAGGGACAGTGCAAGGAAAACACAGTAAGACACAAGGTGATCACTAAAGTGACAAGCCACAAGCCAGCTGTTAGCATACAAAGGACTGGGCTGGAGCCAGGTCAGTCTGGAACAAAGGGCTCTAGGGTGGGATCTGGAAGGAGTCAGCAGGCAGGAAGCAGAATGAGGAACAAGGAATCAGCAGTCCAAAACCAGTCGAAGAGACACGTGTCCTGTTGAGCAGCCTGCTGGCAGTGCTGCTTCTTATAAGCAGGCAGCTGAGGGCCGGCTGGAGGTCATTAGGCCACTGGCAGTCAGGCCCAGCCAGGTATCCAGGGCCAGCTGGGGGCTAATTGGTTTGCCTGCTGCCTGGTTCCTGACAGAATAGGCCCCTAAACTTAACTATTTTCTAGCATGTGGTAGGAGAGGCCTGTCTTACCCAACGACCCCTCAAATACTCCTTCTCCAGGGGGAGGGTGGGATGGACTGCACTGATCTTTCTCCCTCTCCCTGGTTCAGGCTCCAGGGCTCCCATCCCCACAAGGTTTGCTCTCCAGGGCTGGGCAGCAGTGGTTTTACTAGGGGGCTGATGCTGTCTTTGGCTGCTGAAGCTTATGTTCAGAGAGCAGCAGCCCTGGCTGCTCCAGAGGAAGGATTTGCACTGGGGGCAGCTGGGTGTGTCCTCCCACCTAGCTGCCCCAACAGCTTCTGATGGGAGGAAGCTGGTGACCTGGAGGAGGTCGCTGGAGGCCAGCACTGCTTGGATGCTCCCTCCAGCTCCTCCACCCACCATGGGACAGGGCAATCCCTGCCTGTTCCTCATGACAAAGGCAGGCCCGTGGCTTCAACTGCAGAGGGAGCATTTGGGCAGCAGCAGGACAGTTGTTGCTCCCCCTCCAAAAGAAAAAGGAGGGCCGTGAGGTGTCAGGGCTGGGAGGGAGGAGCTTGCCTGGGCCAGCGTGCAGTCGCACTGTACCTGCCCCATGCACTCAGGCCTCCAGGATACACAGGATCCCCCCCAGTGCTCTGCCAAATGGGGCTGCATACATTGGTATATGGCTGTGCTCATGCACCCCCTACCCACACCCCTACACACCTGCTTCTCCATGTACTTACACAGCCATACTCACGTGTGTGTATCTGTGTCATACACAGCATCCACACATACATGCATACAGGGAAGGCCTTAGGTGAACACAGTGGCCAGGCAGGTATGGAGGGCTGAATGCACACACACGTGCACCACTGTAAAGCAGGATTTGTTTCCAAATGACAAGACTCGAGCTCTGACAGCTCTCCCCTTCCCCCCACCTCACACCAGGATTCCCAGACAAGCTGCCATTACTGTGAAATGGAGCAAACTTCCTTTTTTCCTTTACAGCCCCCCATGCAACATGCAGCCAGGGGATGGTCATGTGGTACTTCAGCCAAACCTGGGGGAAGGGCATTGTCTTTTCCAGCCAAAGCTTCTCACTGTTGCTTCTTCTGGGCACTTGCAGCAGCCCTCCTTGCTGGAGAGAGATGGGGAGCTTGATTGCATGCATACACTCATACAGGCATGTGTACACAGACACAGTGAGGTGTGTACAGATATGCATGGGTGCCCATGACTTCATGAACATAAACTTACCTTCCTAGACACAGGAACATGGATGCACTACCTTGCATACAGGCTCATATGCCTGAACATGTAGATACGGATAGGCACATAGCCTTGCATACAGGTGCACATAAAAACACAGGGAAACATTCACACTCTCCTGCCTATTTACATGCACCTGTATGTATGCATAGAAACACGCACACATACCTGCACACAGAAACGCTCCCCTACACACATGCTCACAGAAACAGGCACACACCTGCCGTGTATATACAGACATGCACACACGTTTGTTCTCACAGGCTTTGAAGCTGTCTGAGGTCTCTGGTATAAACACTCCCCTAAGGCTGGCAGCATGAGGTCCCAAGTGTGCCCAAAGGAAGTCACTGGATGCCAAGTAGCAGTGCTTGATGATGCTCAAGTAAGTCCACAGACCTAACCAGCCTCAAGAAACCCACCACCATGGGCAGGTGCAGACATCCCAGAGGTCCCATATGCCCTGGTAGCTCCCACCAATATGTCCATGATGATGCCACATAAGCAAAGCCCCTGGGTGCCAAAAGGTTAGTGCCCAACCAAGTCCCTGTGTTCAGAGTATGTATCTGCTCCAGCTTCTGGATGCTGGGACCTCTGTGGGGAAGCAAGATGCAGACAAAGCAGTCTTCTGCCTCTGTGGATTTTGAGGTGGGGCTTCCCACCCAGGTGCTCACAGTAAATGGGAGACAGCCTGAAATGCAGTGGATGGTGAAGACACACAATGGACAGGATGGCAGCCACAGTCTGATTGTGGGCTTCTCTGCACAACACCCCCTGGAAGGATGAAAATGTAACAGTTTCAATGGGAAAGGGTGATCAATGGACTTGGAGCAGCAAGAACAGCAGCAAGTGCATGGAGGAGAGGAAAGGCTCAGTGGGAGCATTTGGGGAGGGGGGCCGAGCTGCCAGCTGGGCCAAGCGGGGCAAGCAGGTTGTTTTGCTAACTGTCACCATCGATTTCTCTGCAGACTGAGTCGATGCTGAGGCACAAGGCAAGGCTGAAGACTGCTGGGTGCTGAACTCCATTTATGCTGCATGGATCCAGGTCCACTGACAAACACTGAGCAAGTCATTGATCTGGGGCTCCTACAGGGAGGACATGAGCTGAAGAGCATATTGGCAGGAGGGAAGAACAGGACTTTCAAGCCTCCCTCCTGCCCTCTCCCTCTTCTCTCTGGATGTCTCCATCCAGTCAGGAGAACAGAGCTCTGAAAATGCTAAGGGTCTCCACAGATCATTTTTCACTGATCTCAGCTCCAAGTCATCTCCACTGTATACTACTCTATATTCATACAAGAGCCTTAGCCAGGAATGCATCCTGACCAGTGCCTCCTTTGACCCTCAATGCAGATTAGGGTCTGGGTCAGCAGGCTGACCCAGCCCAGTCTACAGGCTGCGTCCTCAGCATTTCTTGGGTTTCAGGGACAATCTAAAGAATATGCTATGATATAAAACCTGATCTACAGTGACGCAAGCCACTGTGAAAGCTTTCATCTCAGCACCTGGGAACCTCTGGCAGTAAGAGAGCAGTACATAAGCTCCACTCAGCAACAGCCTCTATGAATCTGCATCTACCTCTACATTCTCCCCCCACCACTACATCCCAGCACTGAATGGGCACACTTCCAGCACCAAAGTGTGTCTGCAACACTGCATTAGTGCATCTGAGAATCACCAGCACTGAGATACCCTAATACCGTGTGTGTGTGTGTGCGTGTGTGCGTGCGCGCGCGCGCCCTAGCTCTGAAGTATATCTACAGATCCTATGCATAACCCCCAGTGCTGGGAAACCATTGCAATAGCCCTGAATACCCTCCCCCCTTTTACATGTACATACAGCATTCTGCCTATAAACCTTCTGCAACAGGAAAACCACATCTTGGACCAGCTCCCACACAGACAAGCACTATCTCTTCTATACCATAGCACCCTATCCAGGCATCTACAGCATAACCAGGGAAAGACTATGTTCCCCCCAATTACCCCTAAGAATAATATGCAGCAGATCCCTGCCCATCCCACCCTGCTCCCCCCAAAAAACCACGTGAAAGCCTTCAAGGAGGCTGTAAAGATGATGTAAAGTGTCATTTTCATTCTCTAGCCTGGGACCTGGTCTGGCTCTAAAGAAGGCAGGAAAAAAGATGGGAATGGGAAAGTAGAGCAGAGAGCTGCCAGAACAAGACTCAAACCCTCAGAGGAGAGAGTCTTGGGTGGTAAGGGGATAGTTTAGTCTAATTGTGTTTGAGGTCATGGAAGTGAAGATTGGCAGACTGAGAGACAAACCCTCTATTCCCCCGTCGGGGGGACACAGGAGGTGGCAAGGCAAGCTTCTCTTTGCTGCCTCCGCCAGCATGCTTTACCCTTGCCCAGAGGGACATCTTCTAACACAAAAAGAGGAGCTTGGTCTCCACGACTCTTTCAGTCCAAGTCTAGTGGCAGCAAGTTAATGGCCCTAGTGAGGATGCTATCACTGGTATAGGCCTGTGTGTACTGAAAGCCCTCAATGAATTTTACGTAGACCCCAAGCTGCTCCTAACAAGAGTAATGTCTCCAGCTCCAATTGGCAGGGAAAGCCAGGTCTTCTACAAGGTAGAATAATTTGAGAGCACAGAAAGTTTGAAGCACAGGGATAGTCCAGCTAAATGTGAAAAAGGACAAGAATCAACACTTCCAGAGACAGCCCTGTGACCCCTACCCCCAAACCCGCACAACTCAGAGCAAAAGCATTCACTTTATTACAGATCCCGAACGCTCTGATGTCAGCTTCAGAACGCCGATTTTACATTGTACCTTTCATTTTTATGGAACAAAACCATTGTTTGCTCTTTGGTGCCAGTAAATATGTGTCTGTGTGACAGAGAAACAGGCTGCCTGGAGGAGAGGAAGGGGCTGGGTGTGGGGGTGGGGAAAGGACCTGGGTTGTCCACACACACACATCCACTGGCTTGTGCAGAGCTCATGGTGCATTTACAGACACACAAACTGCAAGTACATTTCACTGCTCATCAAACAGACTGCACCTCCGCCCCCCAGCTCTCTGCTATAATACATATGCTGGTGAATGGCTACTGCAGAACAGCTCCCAGCAACAATTCCCCTTGGTATAACCGTCCTTCTCTCTACCACTCAAAGTGCCCATCTGCAGAGAGCAGGGAGCAGGTCTCAATAAGAATCAGTGACTGAAATCTCTTGGTTGGAGAGAAAGAAAACAGGACAGGCAATCAGTTCTCTGTGATTACAATCCCTACTAAAGGCAAGGAAGCTGGAAGGACTCTGCTTTATTCTTCTCCCCTCTCCTTCTCCAAGGCAATAGGCTCCTTGGTCCACTTGGTCTTCATGCTCTCCTGGTCCTCTGTGTAGCTCAGTTCAGAAGGTAGCGCTGCTGAGCTATCGCCATCCCCACTGACTTCCAGGTCCAGCTCCTCAAAGGAGGAGCCGCTGGCCCCCGACTCACTGTAGCTGTGCTCGCTGCGATTGTCTGTCTCATCCCGGCCGTGGCCAGCTGTGAATGGTGACAGGATGGAGGTGGCCACGGAGGTCTCGCGGCTGTCAGTTGTCGCCTCCAGGCTGATGGAACTCGTCTCACTCAGGGTGTCAGCCCCTTGGAAAAGGAGAGAAGAGGAAGAGGTTAACACATAGGAGAGGGCAATGCAGAGCAGGGCAGAGGAGGCTATTCCTTCAGCTCCAGGCTTGGAGAGTTCAGTCCCATTGTTATTCCATTAGCCCCCATGAAGGGGCTTCTGCCAAGAGGAGAACCCTGTCAAAGAGATATTTGCAAAAGAGATCAAGTCCAAACCAACTGTACAAATCCTCTCATCCTTCCCAGCAAGAGAGCTCACCTGGGAAGGCTGGGGGAGATCATGGGGAAAGTGCCATCCTGCCAAGGAGGCAGTGTCTCAGTTGCAGAAAATGCCAAGGAGCATATGGCACAGGCATGCATTATCACCCCAGCCCATCTGGCTCTGTCCCAAACACCTGGAGACTACGGCGCTTTTGGTTGGTATGTGCTTCTCAGCAGGCATCTGTTTGCATTCTGGTGTTTCTAAGATACCACGTCCAGATTAGGGCATTAGGATGACCAAGCAAAGGCCAAAGGCTCCAGCTCAGCTGAAGTTACCCTGTAAAGTTTCATATATGCCGTCATAAAGCACCAAAATAGATTGTGGGGCACAGTAATAACCAGGTACAAAGTACTATGTCATTGCAGGAGTTCAGGTTCATAGAGTAATGCTAAGTTGTTAGGACAGCTACTGGACACATGCTGGACAAGATACATTTCACCCTTTTAGCTCTCAGGAAGAGACCAGCTTCCTTCTATGACACTTTGCTTTAATTTCTCTTCTCCTCTAGCTCCACTGTCCCCTTTCCTCCTGCAAATTGATCCCCCCTCCCTTCCAACTGCCTAATCTTTCCAAGACACCAAGATCTCCACTCCACTCCACTCCTCCTCCCTCTCCTCCTGCTAGCAGACAGCCTTCTGCTCTTCATACTTCTTATTGCCCCACCCGTCACCCTCTGAGGCCGAGTTGCCCTGGGTTCCAGGCTAGCATATACCTGCTAGGAGAAGGGCAGGCTGCTGGCAGTTACCTCCCCCTGGCTTGCTCCTGATGTGAAGCATAAGGCAGTAGGAGTGAGGGGCACTAATGGAGGAGGGCTGGCTGAGGAAGAGCCTGGGGCAGCATGATGAAGACAGGCTCAACCAGTGAGCTGACCAAGCCGCAACATCCTCTTGGACACAGACCCCTCTCATCCCTTGCACCACACCCCAAGAAACTGGCAGCCCTGAACAAGAAAACACCATAGGACTACCCAGTTTTCTAAGGGTTTAACCAGAAGACATAGCAGGGCAAGTAGCAGGGAGTGGGCACTGCCAGGAGAGCCCGAATTGCACTTCTTTGAATGGCTTCAACATGCAGTCATACAGCCCTTTACTTTTCAATGCACTCTCCTGTGAGCTGCACCCAAACCTGCCTCCTAGCACTTTGTATTTGCCCTGCCTGTGTTTTTCCAAATGCTTTAAGGCACTGGCACTTTCTGCAGAGAGGAGATAAACACCTGTGTGAGCCTGCAGAGTCCTGCCATGGGATGGCAGGGGCAGTGAAACAGCTTCACTGGGGAGTGACACCACTGAGCACTGACAAGGAGCTCTATACTGGGCATGCAGTGGTGGAAATTTGGAACTGCTTGTAGCTTGACTGTCCTAGAAGTGAATGAAATCCATCACACTTCATGGCAGGGTGACAGCCAGTGGGAACAGTGGGGACACTGCCTGTGTCTGCCAAAAGTGCTATTCTACAACAGCTCCTGTGGAATAGCTCCCAAGTGCACACTCCATTCTATAATGAACAGGACTTTATCCCAGTATTCACACAAGGGAGTTATTCCCTAATAGCTAAATGGTACCGGAGGAGTTACAGAGGGCTAGTTATTCATGAGCTGCTATACCCGACAAAGTCCCCTGGGTAGCCACAGCCTCCGGCTATTAGCAAGCAGGCACTGTCAGCATCACAAAAACGCTGCTACTGATAGCACTAATTGGTCGTCAGCCACAGCACTTCTCTCCCATCACCTATGCCCGACCCCTGCAGCAGACACACCAAGCTCCAGGCTGTATAAACCCCCCTGCTCTGAAGGACTTGATTCTCAAAGGAAAGCACCTTCCTCCAGCCTTCAGCTGCCTGGCATGTGTCACAGTTGCTCCTCTCTAAGTCAGGACTTTCCTGTCTCAGGAGAGTTAAGGCAGGTGGTTGTGGCTGGTGTCTGAGACTGAGATCATAAAGAACAAGCACTTCTATCAAAGGAGCTCTTGGTGCCTTATAAAAGCCTCATGTTGCCCCTGGGGGAAACTGAGGCACTGAGTGGCAAGGGACTTGTTCCAGCTTACAGTGAGTCAGGCGCAATACCAGTGCTGGAGCCCAGGTTCCTTCCACTATTGTGCCTTAGCCACAAGGCTCAGCTACTCCTGCAAGAAGCTCTGCTCTTGACATTGTGCCTCAGTAATGAGCTAACAAGCTTGTTGCAGGTGCATGGGTTGTGATAGAGATCAGCATGGCAGTGATCACATGAATATACCCCAGATGCTTGGAACTGAACACAGAGCTGAGCCCTGCCAGCTCTCAGGGGAGCAGTGTGTGGTGTAGGGGGCTTGAGTATGTGTGAGACATTGCTCACTCCTGGATGGAATGATACTGATTCGCCTGCCAGGGTAAACTAGGATGCTGCTTTCTGTCCTGTCCCCTGGGCCATATGTGGGCTGGCACCTGTGGCAGCTGGATGGTCACCAACCTACCTCCCCAGGGTCTGGCTGCTCCACAAGTCCCTGGCATTTTAGGTTTGTATTTCAAAGGCTCTGTACTTTGCCCCTTGGGTTATGTACCTCAGACATGGATCTGGACAGGTTTTCCAGGAGGTGAGCTAAACAAGCTGGATGTGCAGCGGGCCACTGAACTCTGCTTCTTTGGAAACGTGCGTTAAATGTCTCAGTGAAGTGAAGCTGGTGATTTCACTAAATCCAAGCAGCTATTTTTCTGTATCACTCAACTGTCACAACATATATCCTGGGCTCCCTGCACAGCCCTGCCAATAGCCCCAGTCCTGGCTTGCAGTGCACCCCATCCAGAAAACAGGGCAGGACAAGCCTACAAGGGGAGTTCCTGAGCTCTGCTCCTCTACAGCCCCTAGTTTACTCTCCCAGAGAAGGCTCTTTAGAATCAGAAAGCTAGTAGCTGCCCTGGAGACTTGAGCACTTTCAAACAAGGCTCCATTTGTTCCCAGGACGCATTTCAGCATTAGGTCCAGCTCCCTGCACTTCCACTAAAGCTGCCCCCTCCCCCTGCCCATGCAGCTCAGACGTGGGGAGACAATGACATTTGTCTCTTGGTAGCTCGATGTGCCTAATGCTTTCCCCACCTAGGGGCATAAGCATGGTCCAAGGAAGACAATAAAGGCTTTGTGGTCCAGCTGCCCTCTCCTTTTGCTCCAGTTCTCTAAGTGCAAGCCCTTCAGCCACTGTGCTGCTGTCTGAGGTGAGCCCTACGTGTGTGTGTCCACGGGGTACTGCAGTGGACAGGAGCACAGGAGGCCAGCCATGAGAACACCAAGGGTGCCCTTCTGCCCCTAGAGGATCAGTGTACCTTGCCATACAGGAGGGGTGAAAAGGAGAGGCAGCAAGAAGGAATTCAATTGCATGCACACCCCCCCACCGCCCCATAACTAGTACCCAGAGATAAAGCCTCAACTCAGCAGTGCAGATATCCCTGGGGACAGTGTTGGAGGACAGCATGGTGACATGCTCTATAATACAGTGGTGTCTTGAGGTCCAAAGCCAACAACTGGCATCTTACTAATATTACACAGGCAAAAGCAATGTAATAGTCCATCAGGAAGGCTGCACTCAAAGAGTTGGGAATACAAAAGTAACATTCAGCCCCTTTGTGCTTGTGCATTATGATAGTCTTTCATTACATGATCACATACTATTTTGAACAAAGGACCCTGCCTCATTCAGTACCGAGATGGACAGCACTCTGGGAATGAATCCAGGGCTGTGCAGCAAGCAGTTTATTGAAGTTGGATCCATGTAGTAAATGAGACAATGACATGCAAGAAGAGAAAGGATGGTCTTGAAATGAAAGACACCACCTCAGTGTTCTTCACTTTCTGAGTACCCAACTGGAGGTACCTGTGCCTTGTCTATCACATGTACTGAGTATTATATGTATGGGGGGGGGTGTGCATGTGTGTGAGTGTGTGTAACAGCTGTGTGGGAACACTAAGTGCTTCAGCTGGGTGGTGAAGTGGTACCTTTGGAAGTAAAAGCCACAGCAAATAGCTGCATAGCTTGTTCTTCACTTACCAACCCACTGTGAACAAAGTGAGTTGCAAACCACCAGGATATGAAAGAGCCAGGATCTACTGGAGTGGATATATGCATCCATCTTGCATAGATGTAACAATGCCTACTCTGTTGTCTCCTGCATACCATAGCCACAAAGCATCCTATAGCGCACACAGGATCCTGAGTACACATGATATGCATCAGGGCAAGACGGTGACACCACCAAAGCTGGGGACCCCTTCTATGGCAGGAATTAGTTATATCCAGATGTTCCTAGGAAGTGGGTCATACCCCATACTACACAGGCCAAAAAAACCCAGTGATCCTTCCAGTATGACTTGAGGGAAAGACCTGTCTGAGGAAGGCCCATGTTCCCTCCTGACCCCAAATCTGGTGAAGGACTTCACCCTGAATGTGTAGCAAGACTCATTGGCCAGGCCCCTGAAAGGTTTCTCAGCACCACTTAGGGTATGTCTCATAGCCTGTCTTAAGGAGGGGATCACCTAGTCTGCAAAATCAAACCCAGGAGGTCTCAAACTTGGTGACCCATCACTGAGACATGCAAAATGTCAGCCCCCTTCTCCCTCTGTGCCTCAGCTCCTCTGCTGTAACTTGGGGATGATGAGAATGTTTTCCTACAGCGCACAGGAGTTATGAAATTAAATTAATCAGCTGTGATGTGCTCAGACATTAGCATACCACAGAGAAGCCCATGAGAAAATAAATAATCCCCTACTGAGTGTGAAGAGTGCAAGAAATATGGT